ATTTTAGATTCACGCCAAGATTCATAAACATCTAGTCATCTCTTCTGTCATGGGAAAGAAGATAATAATTTCTGAAGACCTCATTGCTAGGTTAATTGGTCAAAGTGGTGGTGGAGTCCGTTGTGTGGACATGGCCGACAGATGCCCTGATATAGGTGTGGTAGCCAACTGCATTTTCACTCTTGGATTTCCCAGCAGCAAAATCAAGGATCTGAAGGATCACTGCAGAGTGTGGGCCAAGATTGTTCTGGGCTGTTTCAATCACAGGAAGCCAACAAGCTCTCCTGATTATATAAACGTGGATCAGCAATTTCTGATCTACTTTATTGATCAGAGGGTGAAGATCAATCTGGCACACTTCCTGTTCAATCATCTGAAGACTAGTGTGAAAGAGACTAGAGAAGAAGAAAGGACCAAAAGGGACTGGATACCGTTTGGGAGGCTCATATCAGATATTCTGACAGAGAATAAGCTGATAGATTATCTGAGCGAAGCTAAAGTGCTGGGCAATTTTGAACCAACTGTTGGAAAACCGCTGAACGCTAAGAACCTAAAAAAGATGAAGCTGATAGAAAATATCAGGAAGGAACCCAGAGCTTCTTCAACTGCTGACATCTCCAGAAGAAGAGTGCCTCTGAGTAATTTCCCAAGATTTTCTGAAATGGAATCCCAACCTGATATGTTTCTCAAGTATCCAGATTCATTCAAGGAAGAAGATGCAGGTTCAAAGCTGAAGATCAAAGATCTGAGTCAAGTTCAACCTGAAGTGACTCAGAAGAAGACAAAGAAGAGGAAAGCAGAAGGATCATCTCATCAGACTCCAAAGAAACGAGGTAATTCATCTGCTGCTCCTATTTCAATTTCATCTACTATTCCAACATCTGCTGCCCCTCCTCAAACCTCTCACAGAATATCCATCCCAATCCCTACTATTGATGAAACCATACCAGAAGACCCTTCTGAGGCCTTACAACTCAGAAGAACCAGAATTAAAATTCCCATTAAAATTACCAAACAACCAACTATTTCAACAACACCAGCACTTGATAGAGTGCTAGCTGATATTGAGCGTGAACATGCTTCTGTTCAACCTCACTCTGAACCACCAAATATTCCTCCTCCACAACCTGAACCAGAAATTCAACCTGAACCAGAAATACAACCAGAACAAGAACCAGAACCACAATCTCAACAACCAATCACAGAAGAACCTCTGATCCCTGAGCAATCAGAGATTCCTCCTCCTCAACCAGAAAATAATCCACCCTCACCACAAACAGAGTTTCACCGCTATGAAACCCCATCTCCTCATCATTCTGATCCCCACTCACCTCAACCTTCACCGCTGGCAATACAGTTGCCATGTGGAACCACCATTGTCAGACCCCAGTTACCATCATCAGAGGAATCAACACCTCCAAAAACTCCAACCACTCCAATAGATATATCCTCTGACTCTGATAACCATCCTCCAAAACAAACAGCACCTCAGCACACCTCTGAAAACCAATCCTCTGAAAACCCCAGCAAAACTTTCATTGACTTAACAAGTCTTGAACGTCTTGCTGATTTAAGACACAAATTGGCCATTCCCAAACCAAAGCAACTAGATGTTGGCTCTGGTATTTTGGATTTTGAAACAGGTATGCTGCAATGGATTGCTTCGTTGAAGCAAGTCTGTCCGGGGATGATCGACCCAGCTGCTTCTGATCAGCTCTGGTCACAGTTCAGAGTATGGGTTCGTACTGAAGCACTCAAGCTGCAGGACGTCAACTACGAGCAGGCTCAACAGAACTTTAGCATGCTGCTGAAGGAAGTTGAGAGTCAGCTGCCTCAAGAAGTTGTGCTCCCTCTGGACAGTGAATCCTGGTCTGAGAAAGAGCAAGCTGCACAGGTGCAACAATCAGAAGAAGACAAGACTCTTCAGGAAGAAAATCCAGCAGAAGATGTAGCTGAAAGTTTTGAGAAGCTTCCTCCTGCTGAAAGTTCTCAAGCTGCCTTGGACAGGCAGGCTCTGGAAGAACTCAGGCTGAATGACTTGCGTCTACAGCAGCGGATGGAAGAGAATGATCAGAAGATGGAAGCAAGAATGAATGTTCAGGACAGCAAGATTGATACTGTTGTCACCATGGTTCAGAAGCAGAATGAAACTTCTGAAAAGATTCAAGCAATGCTGGAAAGCCTGTTCTCACACATGCCCCCACAACCTTGAAATTTTTTCATGCATGACATTCTCTATATTTTATTCATTTTCTGATGTACTTTTGACTATGTTTTGACTATGTTTGTGTAATGTTCTTTTGCTCTGAACTATTTTAATATAACTTGTTTTTCTGATCTAAATTGTTTTCGCACATCACTAACACTTTTTGATTGCTGACAAAAAGGGGGAGAACAAGAATGATATTTAAAATCAATAACGGCTAACTAGACAGAAATTCTCAAACATTCTAACTCTATTACTTGAAATGTTTTTCTGTTTTGTTGTTAAGTCTACAGGCACAAGGAAGCTCCGAACACTATGAAGACTAAGAACTAGAAGCTCTGATCAAAATGTAAAAGCTCATGTTGCTCTGATCAAATATGAAGTTCTGATATATGAAGCTCTGATCGTCCTAACACTCTGATCCGAAGCAAAGCTCTGACAGGAAAAGCTCTGAAGCTCTGCTTTCTGATAAGTCAAAGACCTATAATCCGATGCTCAAAGATAGAAAAAGATCTGACTCTGAAGAACACGCATATCAAAGGGAAGTAACAAACTCAGGGGGAGTATCTCTTAACTCTGACTTCTCCGTACTTCTTATTCTGATACATAGTTCTGATAACTTTTCACGTTATTTTTCATTTAAAATATCTAGTTTTTGTCATCATCAAAAAGGGGGAGATTGTTAGAACAATGTTTGAATCTAGTACCCTATATTTAAGTTTTGATGATAACAAAGTGAAAAGATATAGTAGTTAAATATTTCATGATTGAATTATATGCTGCCTAAAATTACTATGCTCTGATTTGCAGATATGCTGATTAAAATAAGCAAGATCACGTTCTCAGCATCAGAATATGTTTTCATACACCAGCATCAGAAGTTGCTGAATCAGAACGTCAAGATCAGATGATCAACGCTTGCACATGCTGAAGCTTGATGAACAGAACTGCGCGTAAAACACTCTGATACAGAATCAAATAGTTCATCAGCAGCGAAGCAGAATCAGAATGAGCCAAGCCAGATCGTGCATTGAAGAAGCAACGGTACTGTGCATTGAACGCTAATCAATTCCAACGGCCTCATTCCAGACAAGATCTGCTCAAAAAGGAAAGCTTGTTATTAGCATTGAATCAAGAATATTTGCTTCAACGTTCATCTTCTCAAATGCTATATAAACCAAGCTTCGAAGATTATCACGGCTAATGCTTCCAAACTCTCTACACGCACAAAGCTGAACAATAATCTTCATCTACTAGTTTTGCTAAACCAACAAACTCTGATACTCCATTAGTGTTTAGCACTCTAAGTTTCTAAGCTTCATTTGTGTAAACATCACAGTTGTGATATAGTTTTGTAGAAAACATTCACACATTATTTTATACCTTTGTAAGAAAGTGTTGCCTTGACAAACCGGATTGTGGTTTGAATCAAGAAGGCTTTAGCAGTTGTTAAAGCAGATTTGTATTCAGTTGAATATAGTGAATTAAGACCTCGTTGGAGAGAGGCGAAATCACCTTGACGGGTGGACTGGAGTAGTTTGAGATCAAACGAACCAGGATAAAAATACCTTGTCATTTGCTTTAAGATTCCAGTTTTACAATTCAACCCCCCCTTCTTGTGTTTTTTCACCCCTTCATATACAACCTCTATGTTGGACATTTTTGAAAATTCATCTTGGAACTATTTGAAAATTTTCCATGAAGTTAGGTCAAAATCCTGCCTTAACTAGGGCAAAATTTCACTAAGTTTCCAAGTTTCATGAACATGTATTCTTAAAATCATAACTTGAAATCCATGCATTTATAGAATAATTTGTGTTCTACAATGTTTTAGATCTCGTTAATATTTACAACTTTCATGTTAGAAGTTTCCTTTGAATCATCTTGCATCATGGTGAAAATTTTGCTCAAAGTTATGAAAAAATATGAATTTTCCAACACTTAGAAAAATTTCTAAGTTTAGAAATTTTGACTTTTCAAAATGAAATCTTGACTTTTTATTTCTTGATGAACAAGTTTCCTATTTTGACATGTTTTGATTAATTGTGATCTTTGACACTTGATTTTAACCAAAAAGTCAAAGTTTGACTTTTCAGTGTACAATTGACTTTTGATCAGTTGACTGAAAATTAACTATCAATCAATTGATCTTGATCAATGTTTTGAGCCATGCCATTAGGTCAAAATTATGAATTTTAATCCTTGAGATTATGACTTAAACCAATAAGTCATTTGCTAGGTCAAAAATCAGAAATTGCACCTTCTCAGTTAAAACCCTAATTTTGACAATTTTGCCCTTTTGATGATCTGATCAAATTTCTTGAGGAATTGTGATCCAAATTTGATCAAATGACATATATGAGTTCATGATGTTGATATGGACCAAAAATTATGAAGTTTGACTGTAAATTGACCATAATTGACTTTTTCTCCAATACAGCTGAGTTTAGGTCAACTGATCAATTGACTGAGCAAAAATGTGATCCAAGACTTGAAACTTTACATGAGAAATCTTGAGGGTCCAAAATGATCCATGAAAGTAATATGGGGAAATAAAATTACATTTATCCTTATGCAATCTCACACCCTAATTTTCAATCATCAGTGCTAGAGGAGGTGTCTTGGCTGATCAACCCTTGTGCAGTCTTGAATCAAAGGAGATCTTGTGAGAAACTACTTGAGGAATGAGAGGGCAAATTTTGGGGTACAACAGGGTGTTACATGGGAAGTACTATATAAGCCATATTTGGTGGAAAGAACTTCCGTGTAATCCATGCAGTTGAGGCAGGTACTACTATGTAAGCCATATTTGGTAGATACTAATATATGCAATAGAGGAAAGTACTACCATAGAAGCCATATTTGGTGAATAGAGTTTCCTGTGCAATGGAGGTATCACTGTAGAAGCCATATTTGGTGGAAGAGGATTCCATGCAATGGAGGTGGATAGTACCATAAGAAGCCGTATTTGGCGAGAAGGACTGGTAGAACATTACAGACGTTCATTATTCTAAAAATTCATGAGATACATGACCAACATCGCTAGGGGATTAACATTCATGCATTGTGTGAAAGCTAAAAGAACTTTGTTCTTCTCGTTTGAATTATCTAATATGCGAGTATAGTATTAGTGGAACAAGAATAATGTTAGGAACCCTTGACCGAATGGACTTAAGGATTAGTTAAGACTCCACTGAGATAGTTATATCTCACTCCTTTCTCAATACTTCAGGTAGCGGGAAAAAAAGCAAAATAAAAAATGAAGATGCTTTGAAGACTTTGAAGACCTTGTCATTTGTTTTATTTTATTTGTTGTGTATCTGGTTGGTAGTATTAGTATTGATATCTAAATTATATATGTACTATGTTATTGATCTAGATTTGTATTTTGTATTTGATATCACTTAGATACTTCTGATTGTACTCAGTATCTCTATGATGCTTCGTTTAATATGATTCTAAACACATATTATTCGGGTCGTTACACAAATGACTCATTAAAATGGTTCAACTTACTATCAATGAGCCTAACGAGGTGTAGTTATAAGTAACTATTCCTATATAATTACAGTGGGCAACTATGCATCTAAACCATAAATAATATTGTTTCTATGTTAATAAAAATACAAAAGAAATTTTGTATAAAGTACATTTCTTATCGATAAAGAATTAGATTTTTTTTACAAAAATGCCATTTTTTTAAAAAATATATAGCACAATGCCACAAGTTGAAAAAATTGACCAGTGTGCAACCTTTTTAAAAGGCGCTCAACCACCTGTTGGACGAACCTGTAAAGATTTTATGTTTTAATGTTTTTCTAATAATTATAATTTAATTTTAATTTTTAAAATATTAATGATTTTAATAATGTTAATATTAATATTTTTAATAATTTTAATATTAATATTTTTAATAATTTTAATATTAATATTTTATTATTACAATTAAACAATTAAAGCAAATAAAAAACAATTTTATTAATAATTGTTGAAATGACTACAAATACATATTAAAATTATTAATAATATGTGCCAGTATAACACATGTTTTTTTTTTGCGCTTCCTCTTGTCCATCTCGGTTTGTTGTCTTGTAGCTACCTCAGTTTGTTGTCTTGGTGGAGATGAAGTACCATCAAATGACAAATCTTCATTTAACTATGATGGATTGCCACCCACGTCAATATCCATATCATCAATATTGAAAGGTGGAAAGGAAAAACGAACTTCTTCAGTGATTTCAAAGTTTATGTTTAGATTGGTTGGCAGTATCGAAGCATTTGGAAAACCCTATTCAATGAGAGGATAATAAACATCAGCAGTGTTTAATGTAGAAGTGGGTTGAGAGGGTGATGGGTTCTGGGTTTGTTGTTGAGATTGGGGTAGGAATAGTCAAAGTTATGTTGGGAGGATAATGAGTTAAAGGTTTGTTGTTGAGATTAGAAGTTTGAATAGTCAAAGTTTTGTTGAGGAATTGGAGTGTATGGAATTGGTGGTCAGAGTGTGGTTTGTTGTTAATATTTTTGATGGCAGTAGTAGTTTGTGTGAAGGGTTAGGGTGTAAGGAGTTGGTTATTGAAATGTGGTGGCATAGAATGTGTGTTGTTGTGTGGTTTAAGTGTGATGGTATGTTTGTCGGGGGAATGATGATGTTTGGGATTGAAATTGTGATAAGTCCATTTGGAGAGTTTCTTGATGTATAGGTGGTGAGGCGGTTTGTTATGTTACAAATTTTGCATATTGACGTGGGTCTTTCAAAAATTGTGGCTGAGAAAGATGCATTAATGGAATTGATCTAAACCATTGCATATATTATTCGTTGTGCGTATAGGCATCATTTACAATGTTCCCACCCAATATTAATTCTCTTCTTTTTTTCCACTCCTCGTTCTCAATAATGTTCACGTCGCGCCAATGAAGATGCCATGTATCTTGCATTTTTGTGGTGGGTGTTCCGCAAGACATCTAGGTGGAGAAGGAATTTGTTTTTTAAACCCAAACTAAAGTTTGACCTTATCCGCTTGATGCATTTCAACAATATGAAAACATATAATAGATGTAGTTGTACTCCAAACACGACTATCTCGATGAACACAAGGGGGTATTCAGGGTATGGCATCCACAAAAACTGTTGCAAGAAATTTAATTGTTAGAATGTAAATACATATCCAAGTAGATGAAAACGTGGAGATATTATTCAGTAACAAACTTACGTCATTCGGAACCATGTGATCAAATGCGTCTCGATATCCATGTAGATAGGCACGAGGATTTTTGTTGTAATACATACCTCGTTGAGCAAACCTTTTATTTTAAAAATAAATAAATATTATAAAATTACCGGTAAAACATTATATACGTACAAAGGTGTGAAATTATATCTTAAACTTACTTGACTCCATATGGATAAGATGGAACCATAGTACTAATAGGAGCAATTAGTGGTATATGCCAGAATGCCCAATCGGCAAGAAGGAGAATACATCCTCCAATACTTTTTACTCCATTAACACTCGCTTTGCACATATTTCTATATAGTGTAGCCAAATAAGCAGAACCCCAACTATATTTCCTACATTTATTTAGATCTCCCACTAAAAGTATCCAAGAAGAATGCATTAAATTATGGCTCTTGCCTGACATCAAAAATTTAGATATGAGGAGTTAAATATATATTTTTGCATGAAGAATTTTATGCTCATACGATGGTGCAACCTTTTCTTTACACTCTTCTAATAATTTTTGTAGCCATTTTATTTTTACCGAACCCTTAATTATATCCTCCCTTGAAGGTTTCACTCCTAAATTTTCCATATAGACATCACTGCCTAATTGAGTAGGGTTATTAACAACCTTACCATATATACGGAGATCGAACAACATACGTACATCCTCCAAGGTTATTGTACATTCACGGATTGGAAGATGAAACATATGTGTTTCCGGTCTCCATCTTTCTAACATAGCAACAACAAGTTTTGAATAAACACTTTTAACGTTTATTTGTGCAACTTTGTTAAACCTGGCTTGTTCCAAAAACGGTATTATGGCTCACTTAGTGGCTCATCGATACAATGAGAATGAAGTCTAAACCTATCATTAACCTGTGATAAATATGGAAAAAATGATAACAATGTTCAACAAAAAATCATTAAGGTATGAAAATACATTATAATTGAAATATAAAAATCTTACGTAGCTGCGGCGTTGGAAGGTGTTCCTCTATGCCATTCTCCCATCGTCAATAATCCTTCCATTTTGTATGCTTGAAACTAAGAGTATGCAAATACAAATATATCAAAGTAATTTTTCGGTGATAAATTTTCTCAGAACAAATCCATATATATAGGCATAATAACATAAAAAGAAATTTTATGAGTTCATGTTATTTTCTACTGACTTTACAAATGGCCTGCATGCAAAGTTTATGGGTTTATGCTATTATCTATTGTATATACAGGTGTCATACATGCAGAATATAAGAATACACATGGGTTAATACTATTGTTCAAATAAGCTATTGTGTTGAGTGATGAGATTAGACACTACATAGTATGATGCGCAGCCATTAAATGGACGAGTGGGTACAACCTTGAAGGCACTCGACCATTGCATGGACGAATGTCCATGTGACCCAAAAAGCAATCGGCATACTAATGGACGAACACGTGTTATTCTTTGGGATAATGTGTTTGACCACTTTTATTTTCTTAAATGCCACCATATATATATATATATATATATATATATATATATATATATATATATATATATATATATATATATATATATATATATATATATATATATATATATATATATATATATATATATATATATATATATATATATATATATATATATATATATATATATATATATATATATATATATATATGTGTGTGTGTGTGTGTGTGTTATTTTTCTTTGTTTGAAATATTCATATTCATCATTCATTCTAAGTCAAAAAAACACATAAGTTATCCACAATGTCTGAGAGAAATATCATAGTAACCATGCGCTACAATGATGATATTTTTACGGGTCCAACTGTCGGGTTTGCATTTATGAATACATAAATATTGCGCTTTAAAATTCATTTTTCAGTTTGATTACCTACATTTGAAGGAACGCATGGAAAAAAATTGCAACGTTCTGTTATAGAAATTTTTTGTCGACATCCATTATTTTATAGAGGGGCCTTGTTGATGGTTGTGGCGCAAGATGTGAATGGTAACATTTTCCCAATTGCTTTTGCAATAATTGAGGGTGAGACAAAGGATGCTTGGAGTTTCTTTCTTAGGAATTTGAGAAATCATGTCACACCACATGCCAATCTTTGTATAATATATGACAGACATCAATCAATAAAGAGTGCATATGATGATCCTGCTAATAGATGGCAAAATCATCCATCTTCACTTGTCTACTGCATCAGACACATTGCACAAAACTTTATGTGTGAGATAAGAAACAATGAGTTGCACAAAACACTTGTCAACATGGATAATAATCTACATTCATGCGTTGACAGATACAACATTTAATATTAGTATCTTTTGCTTAACATTTTTGTTACAGGATATGCGTCGACAGATGCAACATTTAATTACTATCGAGGTGATATACGAAGATCAAATAGGGAAACTCTAAGATGGATAGACAACATTCCCAGGAAGAAGTGGGCAAGGGCGTATGGTGGAGGATCGCGTTGGGGACACATGACAAGTAACCTGGCAGAAGCGATGAACTTCGTACTTAAGGCTACCTAGAACCTTCGTATCACTTCTCTGGTTCAGGCTACATACTATCAATTGGGACCTCTCGTTGGTAAACGAGGTCATCAATGGACAAAGATGTAGGCATCTGGTCAACTTTCACAGATAGCTGCAATAAAGGAATGGATGAAGAAGTGAGTAAAGCTAGCAGTCATAACGTTATACAATTCGATCACGAGAGATTCTATTTCATGGGGGCCAAAAGAATTAACCAGGACGATGGTCGACCATTAGGTACTTTCAGCGTTGATCTTAGGAAGTGATTGTGCAATTGTGTAATTTTGGAAAATTTCAAGCATTTCATTTCCTTGCTCCCATGCTATTATAGCATGTGCTAGTATACGCCAAGACTACACCATTCACATAACAGGCGTGTTCAAGATTCTTAATGTTTTTAAAGTCTGCCAGGAAAGCTTCTTTGGACTTCCACACCAGGGAAACTGGACACAATATGGAGGATTTACCCCTTGCCATGACGAGACTATGCGAAGGAAGAAGAAAGGACGCCCAAATAGTACTGGAATTAGAACCGAAATGGACGATGTTAAAAAAGAAAAGAGAATGTGTGAGATCTATCGCAAAATAGGTCATATGCATAGAAAATGTCCAAATGTAACAGGTTCGTCTAATAGGCCATATTGTTTTCATCAACATCTTAGCTATGTAATATCATGTCTTTCTAATTAAATTCTCATTTCAATTTTTAAAAAAAAATAACATTCAAGTACACGAAATAAAAAAAAACCACTAAGAAAACAACAAGATAAACTAATAAAATGAATCAACACATCAACATATTCAGGAGATTACAATCATCAACACAATATCGACTGATGTTAGCGTCATCATAAGGACACCAACATTATTTTTCACAGTTTTCTAGGATTAAGTTAAAAAAAAAACCCACCAAATGTGGATGAAGCTGAGGAATACAAGGAAAGATATAGGAGACAGGACCTTGATTGTTTGAATTATATGGGACTACCCAATGGCAAAATCGTCTATTTAAATAGAAAAAGATGGCCCAATAGGCCCACTAAAAGAAAGAGGCTTCTACTAGGCTACTAGCTGTAAGCTATAGCTATGATAGAGTAGCTCTCAAGTCCCATCTAATCAAAACCCCACAAACATTGAGGAACCATTTCTGCGGCTGTGGGCCACTTTTCACTTTCTTCATATAAATGCTTCTTCTTTTTTCATTTGTCATTTTATTAATTGTCATAAGGGCACAACATTTATAAATAGTCCTATCAAATTAGTTAGAGAAATACAGAGAATGTAACATTTCAATACCTCTCATTTATCCTTTAATTACTAATTAGAGGGTATCACCCCTTTCTCTAAATCAAATTGATAACTAAATTGGTCTACTTTTTTAAATCCAACCTAAATTCTAAAATATAATATTAAGTGGCTATTTTTTTTTATCTAAATAATAAACTATTATCCATAAATCATTTTGATTTAGGAATTGAATATCCAAATTTATCTGATGCATATATCTTTTCCTCAAATTTAATAGATATTGTTTGGCTACTTATTCTTGTGAAAATAATAGTAACTTCAACTTGTTAATTCTCTCCAATTTAATACTATTTTCAATAGTTATTATTTCTTCCTTCTCAAAATAATTGTCATATTTAATACTTTCATATAAATTAAAAAATCATCATACTTTAAAAAGTTAATAATTTTATCAAATTATTCTTATTAACTATTAATGTAATCAAATTAATATTAATAATAAGTAAAAAAATAATACATAAGAATATTTATTAAAGGATATCATTGAAAAATTAAAAATAAAACTGTATTGATAACTTAAAAACAAATATTTTAGAACAATTTTTTTTCAAATATGGCAACTGTTTTAAGACTAGAAAATGAAAAATAAATCCTTATGCTATAAAATAATCTAGCCGGAGTAATCCATGAGGAAATGCTTCCAAGCCGAAAGATTATTGATATTAGAAAAGAAAATAAAAGAACCATTCGTTTATTAATTTTTTATATATTTTTTTTATGGATAATAAAAATTAAGTTAATACAGAAATAAAAGGCAAACAGATAATAAATTTTGTCTCTATTTCTTTTTAGATCGTAAAATCAATCTTCAAAAGATCAACTGTTTTTGGTGCTAGGAAACAAAAAATATCAAAAGCAAATGGTATAAAAATATGTTGATTTTCAAATCATGTTTTCTCATGTTTGACCACTTTACTGGAAACAAATTTAAGAGTTGTCTGTTCCACAGTAAAACCATCATTCATCAAACCCACTAGTGGAGAAACTCCCATCAAGTCCACACGAGCATATTTCCCTCCTATCCGCCCGTAAACCAAAATATATGTTGACCTAAGTGTCGATCTCCCTTTAAGTGGGTCAGTAAAAAAATTCACAGACGTCTCTTTCTTCACACATACTTCGACACGTCGGAATATATCAAACAAGACATCCCTAACAAAGTTATGTCAATATTTGAAGTCTGAAAGCTCCCTACAATGAATCGCATGTTCTCCAAATGTATCTAAAGAAGCCTTACGACAAACAGGGCAAACCTCATCAATAGGAAATAAAGAAATTATAAGGTGATATCTTAGGATAGTACGATACTCCACCGGTGATATATATTGGCCTATCCCATCAATAGGAATAGCAAGGAGAAAGTACTTAGCATGTGCGGTTTGCAAACAATCAAAAACTACCTTCTGCCTTGAGGTCATGTCAAACTTCACATCCATGTCCTTAACAATTTTACTAAAAAGGGCACTCGCCAAAACATGTTGTGCTTTAGGAGGTACGGTGTCCTTACTAGTAAAATTGCTAAGGTCAAAATATAGAATCACAACACTAAGACCATCCAAAGCTCTATCGAAATTCGAGTCCATACTATACACTCCATTGTGTCTTAATATATGATCCTGCAACACCCAAGATTGGGCCCTAGAAGCCAGAAAGGCGTATGAGGCAACCTCTACAACCAAGTACAAACTCAAACCCCCAACTCTAATTGGTAATGAAGTCACTCTCCATTGAAGGTCCCCTAAAAAAGGACCTCCACCAACCACGATGTCTTCAACCACATTTTGCAACTCTTTATCAAACCAAATAGTTGTTTTCTCCATATGAGTAGGTTGACACGTTCTTAGGCTAAAATTTTTTTTGGCAATACCCATGCAGGATCGA